GCCTGTAATCCCAGCACTTTGGGAGGCCGAAGCGGGTGGATCACGAGGTCAAGAGATCGAGACCATCCTGGTCAACATGGTGACACCTCGTCTCTACTAAAAATACAAAAAAATCAGCTGGGCATGGTGGCGCGTGCCTGTAATCCCAGCTACTCAGAAGGCTGACACAGGAGAATTGCCTGAACCCAGGAGGCGGAGGTTGCGGTGAGCCGAGATTGCGCCATTGCACTCCAGCCTGGGTAATAAAAGCGAAACTCCGTCTCAAAAAAAAAGAAATAATACACAGGATTGCTTGAGGCCAGGAGTTTGAGACCAGCCTGAGCAAGACCCTGTCTCTACAAGAAAAAAAAAAGAGATGTCATGCACTCTCAGTCAAGGTGGAATAACAGGGCCCAAATTTGCCCTCTCACAGGAAACAACCAACTTTGCCCCCTACAAAAAAACCAAAATACATGAAACAATGATTTTTTTTTTTTTTTTGAGATGAGTTCTCCCTCTTGTCACCCAGGCTGGTGTGCAATGGAACGATCCCGGCTCGATGCAACCTCTGCCCCCCAGGTTCAAGGCGATTCTCCTGCCTCAGCCTCCCGAGTAGCTGGGATTACAGGTGCCCACCACCACACCCAGTTAATTTTTGCACTTTTAGTAGAGATGGGTTTCACCATGTTGCCCAGGCTGGTCTTGAATTCCTGGCCTCAGATAATCTGCCTGCCTCAGCCTCCCAAAGTGCTGAGATTACGGGTGTGAGCCACTGTGCCTGGTCCAAACAATGATTCTTAAGACATTAGACATCAGGCACCAAAGGACATTGATCCCTGAAAGATAGGAAACAAGGTGAGCACTACAACTCTCCCAGCACACTGCCTGAGAGCTTCCATGCTATGGCACTGGAAGGGGAAACTGAGGCAGCACCTGGTGGACTCCCTAAGTTGAGGCAGTCCAGAGAGACGAAGGCAGCTAGAGTTTAAAGGACAGAATGTCAGGAGAGAGGAGCACAGAGATCTGCAAAGGGTCCCCCTTCAGTATTTAACAGAGTACTTATCAACACATGCATATGAGCCAACTACTAAAGGCCAGGAAAAGAACCATCCAAGTGGATTGGAGGAACAGGTCCTGACATTCACATGGAGCTTTTGAAAATAGTGCCTGTTCCCACCACCCAGACTGGAAACTCCTAATTCACAAGGCATAGAATACACAGGAAGGTCTCGTCGCGGTTGTGGGGAATAACTAGCCCTAGACTTAGTATTGCTCCAGGCTCACTTTACAAATAACAAAAGAAGACCTTAAAAGATCTATGGAAATTGCCGGGCGAGGTGGCTCATGCCTGTAATCCCAGCACTTTGGGAGGCTGAGGCAGGCGGATCACAAGGTTAGGAGTTCAAGACCAGCCTAGCCAATATCATGAAACCCTATCTCTACTAAAAATACGAAAATTAGCCGGGCGTGGTGTTGGACACCTGTAATCCCAGCTACTCAGTAGGCTGAGGCAGGAGAATGACTTGAACCCGGGAGGCAGAGGTTGTGATGAGCCAAGATGGCACCACTGCACTCCAGCCTGGTGACAGCAAAAGACTATGTCACACACACACACAAAATCTACAAGAATAACAAAGATTGATAGGAATTAAAAAAGACCTGGCTCCTAAAAAGGTAATATTGACAATCTCTGTTACCCAAACAAAGATTACCAGGCATAAAAAGAACCAGGAGGCTGGGTGCAGTGGTTCACGCCTGTAATCGCAGCATTTTGGGAGGTCGAGGACAAGTAGATTGCTTGAGCCCAGGAGTTGGAGAACAGCCTAGGAAACATGGTGAAACCCTGCCTCTACAAATAATTTTAAAAGTTCTACTATCACATTGGATATAAAGCAAACAAACAAACAAACAAAAAAGTTAGCTGGGCATGGTAGCACATGCCTGTAGTCCCAGCTACTCAGGAGGCTGAGGTGGGAGGATTGCTTGGGCCCAGGAGGTGGAGGCTGCACTGAGCCATCATGGGGCCATTGCACTTCAGCCTGGGTAACAGAGTGAGACCCTGTCTCTAACAATAAATAAATAAATAAAATGAAAAGAACAGTATTCCAATGACCTAGTAACCTGTGGAAACTTGGATGAAAGTTTAGGCATTCCAGACTTGTACAAATTAATTGTATCTGTATCTCAGAGAAAATCTTCCTCAAAACATGAATTTTTTTAAACTGGGGAGATAGCTTCTAATTTAAACTGAAAATGCACACCCAAAACACAAATCTCTGAGATAAAAATTACTCTGCTCAGACCCAGTTGAGCCAGCTTTAATATTTGTGCTCTTCCTTTGTTACTGGAAAGGGGTCCCGATTCAGACCTCAAGAGAGTGTTCTTGGATCTCACGCAAGAAAGAATTTGAGGTGAGTCCATAGAGTAAAGTGAAAGCAAGATTATTATTATTATTTCAGGAGTTTTGTGCTTGTTGCCCAGGCTGGAGTACAATGGCATGATCTCGGCTCACTGCAACCTCTGCCTCCCCAGTTCAAGCGATTTTCCTGCCTCAGCCTGCCGAGTAGCTGTGATTACAGTCGGCCACCACCACGCCTAGCTAGCTAATATTTTTAGTAGAGATGGGGTTTTACTATGTTGGCCAGACTGGTCTCAAACTCCTGACTTCAGGCAATCCACCCGCCTCCTGAAGTGCTGGGATTACAGGCATGAGCCGCCATGCCTAGCCATGGGTAGAGCAGCCCAGAGGGCTGGTGGTTGTGATTTTTATGGTTATTTCTTTTTCTCTTTTTTTGAGATGGAGTCTTGCTTGTTGCCCAGGCTGGAGTGCAGTGACACGATCTTGTCTCACTCCAACCTCCACCTCCCAGGTTCAAGCAATTATCTTGCCTCAGCCTTCCAAGTAGCTGGGATTACAGGCTTCCGCCAACATGTCCGGCTAATTTTTGTATTTTTAGTAGAGATGGGGTTTCACCATGTTCGCCAGACTGGTCTCGAACTCCTGACTTCAGGCAATCCACCCGTCTCCTGAAGTGCTGGGATTACAAGCATGAGCCACCTTACCTGGCCATATTTCTTGATGATATGCTAAACAAGGGGTGGATTATTCATGCCTCCTTTTTTTAGACTATATACAGTAACTTCCTGATGTTGCCATGGCATTTGTGAACTGTCGTGGTGCTGGTAGGAGTGTCTTTTAGCATGCTAATGCATTACAATTAGCGTATAATGAGCCATGAGGATAACTAGAGGTCACTTTCATCACCATCTTGGTTCTGGTGGGTTTTTGGCTGGCTTCTCTACTACAAACTGTTTTATCAGCAAGGTCTTTATGAACTGTATCTTGTGGATGAGATAGGAGGTCTCATCCTCCTATCTCATCCTGTGATTTGGAATGCCTAACCTGGGAATACAGCCCAGTAGGTCTCAGCCTTATCTTACCCAGCCTTTACTCAAGATAGATTTGCTCTGGTTCAAATGCCTCTGACACCTTGGAACAGTTGGCCTTTATGGTGTGAGTCACTAAACACATCTTTCTCTAATGCATCCCAGAAAATTGATTAAGTTTGTGGATTGAGGAAGTAAGCTTTACTCTGATGTTTTAAAAAGCAGCATCCTGAGGCAGGAGAATTGCCTGAACCCAGGAGGCGGAGGTTGCGGTGAGCCAAGATCGTGCCATTGCACTCCAGCCTGGGTAACAAGAGCGAAACTCCGTCTCAAAAAAAAAAAAAAAAAAAAAAGCAGCATCCTGATTTCCGTGTGCCTTCATTTCATAACTAAAAAATGTTTTAGCTCACTGTTGTAAAGTGAAATAATAACTCTTCATTGAACATTCATTCATTCATGTATAGAAAAAGTATTTATTGAGTGCCTATGACATACCAGGCACATCATACTAGAAGATGCTGGGAACGGAACAGGAAGCAGAACAATATTCTTGTCCTTGATAGGAAAAGATGAATACACACACACACACACACACACACACAGTGGAAAAGAAATAGGAGGTAAGAAGGGCTGGGGTAGAGATTACTATATTTGGGGTAGTCAGAGAAGCTTCTTGAATAAGGTGACATTTGACCAGAGAAGGAAGTGAGGGAGTGAGCCTTGTGGATATGAGGGGAAGGAACATTCCTAGCAGAAGGAACAGCAGGCTGGAGGACAGAGGCGGGAGGATCTCTTTAGCTCAGGAGTTCAAGACCAGCCTGAGCAACATAGCAAGACCAGTTCTATACAAAAAAAAAAAAAAAAAAGAAAGAAAAACAAATTAGCCAAGGGTGGTGATGCACACCTAGAGTCCTATCTACTCGGGAGGCTGAGGCTGGGGGATTGCTTGAGCCCTGGAGGTTGAGGCTGCAGTGAGCTATTACTTTGCCACTGCCCACTCCAGCCTGGGTGACAGAGCAAGACCCT